ATACCGTCCTGTAATGGAATGAAGAGCGAAAAAAAAAACGCTACACTAATTAAATATTTGAAATGTTCAAACGATAGCAAGGCCTTGTATTTCATATATTTTATAGCTTTCATGCCAAAGACATGAAATACATAGACGTCAGTAATCGGTTAATGGCATGACATGGGCGCGTTGAAATACATAGACGTCAGTAATCGGTTAATGGCATGACATGGGCGCGTTTCACTCCGCCGCTAACAGTGTGAGTGCGTATGGTGCCAGGAAAGATTGTGTAAATGAACAGTGTATCGAACAAGGCTGTCGCTTTTACAAAAACGGCCTTTGAACGAGCAAACTCTTTCGTAACGGTTCGTAAATTCGCTAAACCTAACGGTATTTGCCGTTAGAGCGTGTATCCAGCATTTGTCAGGTGATCACACGTCACGTGACCGCTCTCTAATGGAATGCTCTCTAATGGAACGGACGCGCTCTAATGGAATGGCTCGAGCTAGGTCTCTCTCCTTAGCACGGGCTAAGGAATTTGACCTCTTAGCCCGTGCTAAGGAGCTGTGCGTGAACGCAACTAATTTCGAAGACGGGTCTTCGTCACGTGGTTAAATCGTGACTATAGAATTTGCTTTTTCTAGAGAACTGGGCCAAAAAAGATTTGTTCTTGGTTCTAAAATGTTGCTTGTCTTTATTATTATTTATTTTATTTATTCATTATTTTTGCCGGTTTTTGAGAGACTCTTCACGCTAAAAAAAAAAAAGACCCACGCAGCTATAAAATTTATTGTAAACGTAATTGCAGTTAAATTGCCAGTGAAACCACAGTCACTCTACTAGTAGAGTGACTGTGGTGAAACGCTTGTTACCCCGATGTCCAAAAACCATTATTGGTATGTGAATATCATCATAGTTTATATATTTGAGCACAAAATAAATATTTTAATAAAACAAATTGAGTTTATTAGGCATGACCTAATCGAATCAGTTCATTGATACCATGTCGGCATTAGATTAGTAACCGAGTATTACGTGAATGACGCCACGATGACGATGGTATACAAACTACATTCGTACCCGAATATCCTGTTGCTATTTGTTACAAGTACATGGCCTTGTGGCGTGTGTAGTACTGCTTGTATGTCACCGAGAGACAGAGAGACAGATTAGGTTCAACCTTGATAAACAGAGTGGTTGTTATTTCTTGAAATTGATACCAGCAAGGAACTTCAAACCAAGTAGTTTCTCGATACCATAAAGCACGGCCAACACGTGTCGTGTTAATGAATGATGTGAGAGTGTTACTGTAGACGTGGAGGTAAAAAGACATTCTTTTTACCTCCATGCTGTAGACGACGACAGGTAGGACTTGGAAATACTAGTAATGTGAATACCAGCAGACGACAGATTAACATTCAGTTTGTAGCAGACGATTTACATTCCCGTGACCTCATGTTATGTTGCAATTGATTATACTATCTTTGGAAGTTCTTGACAAACAACAGAGTAATTCATTTTAATGCTTTTTGCTTTCTTCTGTAAACATTTTAATTAGTTCCAAAGAAATGCAAACGTTTGTAATAAAAGTAAAGAATGGACTCAGGAACTTGACACTGGGGCATCTATTTTTCATCGCCGCGATACCATAAAGCACGGTCAGCACGTGCCAGGGTGATCTATGAAAATAGCATGCTGCTGTTGATGACGACAGATTTGGACATTTGTTTTGTATGTTTTGTGTTCGAGTAATTGTGTATACTATTACTCTCTGGACGGTACTCGGTGGTAATTGTAATATTTCGAAACAATAGAAATACAGCTTGGAGTGTTCGTTACCATGACAATTGAGCTCTTTGTTCAAACTTATCCACAGTCTTGAATGTTTATGTATCCCCATGCACGAGTTTACTTAGTTCCATTGCCCACTTTTGTACTGTCCGATGAACGAGAAGATTACTTTGGATGTCGCCATGAACTTGATAACAATTATCAGTAATCTGCATAAAATTAATTTAAACTGTTTAAGAAAAATTGCGATCTGAAGCACATTGCTCGGAGATAAAGCAGTTGGTGGTTCTGAACTATCGTATATTCAGCGATAAAATAAAATTGAAAAGTATTCTCGTTTCATATGCTTACCCCCTTAAAAATCGAATCATGAAGCTAGTCAACGATTAGAACTCTATTCTCCCTAATCGTGACTGATCCACCCATGGAGCTTAGCTCCATGATCCACCCTAATTGACGATTGCATAACGCTGCAAGGTTAAATTAGCGGAAAATTCAACAGAATTACCTTAGGGGTGAACAATGTTTATGCGGGTGGTAAATAATCTACCAGAAATGGGTTGTAGGCATGCACGCACATCTTAGAAAAAAATCATGATTTGACATCGCGCAGTGATATTATCAACTAACATACCATCCCTGTAGCAATAATAGCACATCCCAAATGGCTAAGCCATGAAAACAAAGATAGTAAACACATTTTTGATAATAGCACATCTTTCTATCACTACAAACTGAACTTGTCAATAAGATGGACAATGCAAAAACAGATCTAATTGTCTCCCATACAGTGTGTAATTTAAAATGACTCTCAAAGACAATCCATTACTATACCACGAACAAACAAACAAACAAGTAATTCATTACCAAGTCAGCAAGCTTCACACGTGTATCTCCATGCTGCACACTAACCATGGAGCTAACACATGCAGTAATGGAAGAATACTTTCACAGGTATTCTAAGTTAACAAATATTCGCATTATAGCGTCCACAATTTTTAAAAAAATATATAAAATGAAGCAGAGCTTCACGGGTATTCTCTAGTTAACTGCGCGCAAACTGCCAAAATGACGAGTGGCTAAACCACTATGAAATCGCATTCCATCGACCATTCAACTTCTACAATTTACAAGACACATAATGCAAAGCACATACCTTGATTCACAAGTTTTAGCTTGGGTGTATTTTAGAGCTGGATTTTTTTTCATTATTAATATTGAAATTTTGTTTATGTTTGAGCTTAGCACCATGCGCAAGGACAGACCATGGACAAGACAGAGAAACACAGATTTTCAACTCGCTGTAAGTTGTACATGTATGTGACCTTTTCGGTTGAACATATCACCCTGCCCGTAAGTGTATACAATTCAGGATTCTTTGATGGAGAATCAGATGCTGATCATTTCAGGGGGTTGTGCACTGATCGAAGGTTCAGTATTGTATGACCAGTGTGTTGATATGATGGAAAGAAATTGACATTCGTGTATAGCGACAAGGACATTAACAAAAACTAGGAATATTTCTGGCTCGTACTCTCTGTGACGACTTTTTAAATTTGCGAATACGATTTTGATTCCTTGTTAATTCCGCTACGAGATCAAGAGAAACGCATTAGGAATTGTGTAAATGTTTGTGAAGTTTAGATGACGCACCCTGTTTTAGCGGGTTAACGTCACGTGACAATGATTGGCAGCAGTTAATTATTCAAGCTTAGTAGCAGGTTTGTGATTTTTTTTTACTTTTATTCGACAAAATTCAAACTCATAAACTATTTATTGTCATAAATACAACATATAGTCACTGCTGTGATATTCATAGTCACATACATCCACTCTGGCAAGACGATGGAGCTTGGCTGGACTGTTTACTACAGCGAGACTTGCAGGGAAATAATCCATATTGTTTAGAAGCGTATTTACCTGGGCCTTTAAACGCTTTGTAAAGCTGTGACAGACTTCTTTTGTTGACAACATGGCCATGACCCCACAACGGTTTTAGTAACCGTGCCCAGAATAAGAGCTCCCCAGTACCTTCAGTCTGAGCATGCGCAGAAAATTTTAAGCTGAAACGAATTAACATTTGCATGTGTGAAGACAGCATATATCAGTCACGTAACACCATACCGCATGATTTGAGAACACGGAACCGAAGACACGAAGCATAACATCTGTAAGTTGTATACAAGTGTTAATATTACTAATGTGTATTTTTAATATACATGTCTAGATTTATACGCCTTTGTTTGCCAGAGATGTGAATATAGTCTCAACGTTTGAATCAGTTATTTGTGTAACCAGTAGGTCGATTACATGACCTCCATATACACCCAACGGTTAAACTGTACGTCGTATCATTACCACTACGTCCATGGACATGTATCCATGATGTGCCGATCGAACAACTGTAAACTTCTCGTTAACATCGTCACACTCTTCAAACGCGACGAACAGCTGTACGGGGTCAGTATGTGAATAACCCTTACTCGAGTTCAAATTATAGATTCTTTGTATGTGGATACGTACAAAGGCCTCGCTGGTATGCTACCAAACGCTGCCCACTGAAACAATAGGTTATTGTTCACTCAAAGCACATTATCCAACTACAGCCCTCTTTGGTAGAGTATATTCCTTTCCATGGAAAGCAGGACTCATACCAATAATATGTTCAGTCTTTGCCTCGTTAGTCCTTGCCAATAATGGCGTTTATAATTGAATATAATCGGCAGTGTGAACCATTGATTTTATTCATATGACCTTCCGTATTGGCGAGTTGATTTACTAAATGACCCACAACAGCCATATTATGGTTTCGGACTGATTCGCAATAACGCTGCCGATTACGCCCATGAATAGGTAGTTGTAGTTTTACATGTTCTATTGATTTTATTCATATGACCTCTCCTATGGGCGAGTTGATGTAGTTACAAATGACCCACAGCAACAATATTATGGTTTCGGACTGATTCACAATAACACTGCGGGTTCCTCCCCATTAACACGTCAACATATGTAGTTTGGAGGCTTCCTATTCACAAATACGGGTTATTTTGTTGAGTGTTACTGTTACCATGGACTTCGCTGTAACAAGGTCAAAATAAGTATGAGAATATTGTTACCGTAATGTACGCCGTATTTCCATAGTCCTTCATTGTCGCCCATGTTAAGGGTAACAGCTGATAGCAGTGAGTCCACCTGTGACTGTCATGGGGGCATGTTTACCGGTAATCCGTTTGGAAGTGTTGTATCATAGACCTAAGGTATATGGTTGTATTGACCTATCCTCTATTATACAGTAAACACAACTATCCAAACTGGTCGCCCATCTCAATAACTATGAATTTACAATTTCTAAACACCTTGGAAAATATTTACACCATAATGTCTGGGTGTAGCGTCTACTAACGGTTATATCTTATTTTCCTTTCTCAGGATCAGATTTTTGTAACAGCGCCATGGACGGAGATACAATGCAGCAAACATCAACAGAATCAAACCAGTGTTCAAGTTCATGCACTGAGAGGCAGTCAATTTTCCTCTGTAGCCACGCAACTTCACAGTGTTTTCATGGAAACGGTAGCTCAGTTGAGGACGAATCTGAGATATGGTACAGCGACAACGGAGAGGGCAGTGAAGATGACGCACTTCCCCTCCAAGATAATAGCTCCGATGAAGAGACAGTTCAGAGGTACGTGAATTCGGCTACTCAGACCGAACCTAGATCACACACAAGGCAGAGGCGAGTAGTTAAAAGAGCCGGGACATCGACGCCAGCGTATGAAACCTCTGGAACTGGTAGTGCCGATGAAGAAATCAGCCGATCGTGGGTTGAAATGGTAGAAGAACAAGAGATAATGGAGGAACTGAATAAAAAAGGAGCTCACGATCACAGACCTACGCAAAATCTAAATGGTAAGTTTTGTTATGAAAAACAACGAGGTTACTCTTCACTACGTACGTATATGTATAGTATTTTTCTAAACTCAATATACGAGTATACATATCATGAGACCAGGAAGCCACAAAACTTCGAAGCACTAGTATGCTCACCAATGTTAGTGTCGAGTAGAGCGCCCCCAACAGCCACATATGAATTGTCAAACCCATATGGTTCAAAGCATAGTCAAACAGTTTATTATCACAATATTTAATGTAAATTTTTTTTTTTTTCGAATTGTTTTCATCAATTGCCAATGATGTTTAAACATAACTATATGAAACTATACACTGCACGATTTTTGATCAGGTTCAGAACCGTCGATGGTTTATTTTCTGCATACGTGACTAATATGCGATTAAGGACGCAGAAACATTTTAAAGCGGTAATAGCTATGTGTGTTTTTTTGTGTTTTTTGTTTGTTCAAATATAACAGGATAAAGATGATGAAATCGTGCCGAAATATTGTTTTAGACCTAATTGCATGGATGTTAAAACTGATGGTTGAGTAGTCGCTATTTTCGTTGAGATCAGTCACCGCGACGTGATGGGAACCATAGAAAATTGCCAAACATAATGGACACTATTGTGGGAATTGGCGCATAAAATTACAACTAAGAAACCGACAGAGAGAGGCTTATCCTCTCAAGATATTTGACATTTCGTCCAGGGTCCCGGCAATTTGTCACCCTTTAACTGGATTTCAATAGATGACGCCCCAAGAGACCAGCGCGCAACCACGTGATTAAATGTACAACATCGATATATTGCGTAAATGCTATGCTTTTAATGTCAACATTTCGGTGATGTCCGTTACAAATTGGTACTTAATGACACAGGAAATATTTTATAAAAAAAAATCAGTGAAATAATATCGTTAGTAACAATTTTCGCTGCTTCAAACATACAAAATTTTGCGAGTTTTACCTGAGATCTCACCTTGACTGATTAACATCAAATTATATATCTATATAACCAGAGAGAGAACTATCGTTATACTGACTGTTATTGTATACATTATATTTGTAGGTTGTCGGCTGACAGATTGCCAACAAGCCCGCCTAGCTTACCTGGTTAGTCGACACAAGTTTCCGAGCTGTATCTGTTACCATCTGAAGAATATCATGTTACACTACCCCGCATTGTTGGCTCAGTATTGCGAGTTTTCCTTGAATCATTTTGCAAGTCAAACTCCAATTGTGATGAAACGAGTAAGTATGTTATAATTGCGTTCGGTTTTCTTGAATATGGACAGAAGCTGACATTTACGAAATATAAAATAGTTTTAGATACGTACCGAAATCTGCCCTCGCAGTGCACTGTTTTGGGTAGATTAGTTATCGAACTCCAGCAGTCAATTCAGTGAAAACGAAATAGATAATGCTGAGAACATCGGTTAGGGATGTAATTGGTTTTCGAGGAATTGCTAAAGTACAATTGTAAACTAAGTTATTTTGATATGTTGTAGTCCAAGTCGTGTGATAACACCCATTGAATTTATACTACATCTTTGAAGAGCGGTAGTCGTCGCGCTATGCATGTGCGACGTTTATGTTGATAAACATCGATTTTCCCACAATTCTATGCGCTCTTCTAATGGAAATCACAAGAACGAGTTTTGCCCTAAACGCGACGTGAACGTATTACCGCCGGTGACTCTTCGATACTTTCCAATCACCACAGAATTTACCTTAAAGCTTGGTGATGTCTCAGTTTGTAATCGTTGGTCTACGCAACAGTCGCCATCCTTGTTCATATGAGACCCATACCTAGCGCATGCGTGGCACGACGACCACCGCCCTTCAAATCCCAAATAGCCACATTGATAAATTCCTGTGTAACTAAAATGGTTCACTAAACTCTTCCAGGAAACGATGTGCTCTTTGCCAATAACCTATATTGCAGAGGATGCAATCTTGTTTAGAAAAACACAACCGTCGATATTGTGTTGTATATCAAATCAACTTTGCGATTATACCTAAAAACATTTTAAAATACTATTTCTTAATGGTAATGTTTCATTTTCTTATGTTTTACTTTTTTCTAGGCGCTTCTACGATGGGAGAGCTACGATCTCGACAAATTTCGAAATGGGTGGGATCTTCTTCATGTATGTGTTCTACACGCTCTGCACGAACAGTGAAGATGAGCTGAACTTTTTATAAATTTTTAATGACATCTTTTTTATCAATCTTTAACGACATTACATACAATAAGTTTCAACAGCAAATCGGCTGTAATAACGTCGATTTTCTCGTATTTATTATTTATTAAAATATGTTCATAATGGATGATGCGATAAACATTTTCTCCAGTGTTGCTGTTAATTAAATACAATATATGCAAATTATGTTTTTATGTTTACCAAGCGTATTTTTAAACTTACTATCCATTTTGACATTATCACCACAACAGTATTGTCGATGTGAATTCAAAAAAACAATTTTTACTATATTTTTCGATTAAGATAAGAGAACTAATAATATGCAAACATTACCTCCTTCTATATCCATGCTCAAATAACATTATATAAAATCGATGTAATATGAATATCCCATGTAAATAAATATTCTACAGCTTACATCGATATAACATAGATACTTTACTGACATCCTTGTACATGTAACATGAATAATTTACCAACTGCATCTATGGAGCATGCAGTATTACAAAAGTAGCGTCATGGTGACACCTTTAAAAACTAGTAAAATTTCCCAGCTTTTCGCCTACGACTTCAATGGGTGTACCTTACGCCCCATTGTACAATATTATTGACAAACACATTGAAAAACCGGCCAACCACGAAAAACAAAACATCGAAATAATTATGACAACGCATACGACAAGAAAATCAACGTTGCATACACAAGGGTCGAGTACCAGATTCTATACCATTGGTCGTGTATTATATATCAAGTCACACGTTCACGTGTGGATTAAGAGAAATCAAAACCGAAAGGGATGATAAAATTTCTTTTTAAAAAAGCATAGAAACCTCCCGCATGTTGTATTTATTAGAGGCAAACAATGAACGCATTTAATACATTCTGCATATTTAAAGAAACACTACATTTTTATTGTTGACTCGTTGCAATGCAAATAATAATTGTGTATCTTTATAAAGATACGTAATTACGTATGGTAGAGCATTCTAAAGGTCAATTTCCCTTAGTGTGTTTTTGAGATGCAGTAATAAAAATGTCCCACAATTATGTAAATTATTTGGCATTAATCTTCGAGAAAAATAAACATGTTTACAAAACTCTACGTAGGCTAATTATATATACGAATAAAAAAATAAAAAAATTGGGTAATCATTGTGTAATCCAGAACACCCATTATCATGCAAATTCGGTATTTAATATGTGAACATTTAAACCCAAAACCAGTCAGGTATGATGATTATTCCATAACATCTTAGTTGGTGAATTAGTATGTGAAAAAGGTAATTATTATGTATGTCTTTCTACCAAATACGTACCAAGTTTAATTAAAATCAGAAGAATGATTGTTGAACATGATATCCAATGGAACAGACCCAAATAAAACACTCCAACTGAACGCGAGAGCAAATATTTATCGTTTTTATATTGTCTAATTGTCTCTGTTAATTGTTTCGAGATAACTTAGCAAAATATACGATTATTATGCGAGGTCACCTATCACGTGGCATCATACGTAACTTGATTTAGAATACATTATAAATATTGGTATCGCATAGTACAATGTATATGTTTATCTTTGGAGTACTGTGTCAATGAAAAACACGACTAGATAAACTAGTATAGACGACAAACATAAAAGGTGGAAGAAGAAAAATCAATCACAAACGAATATCTACAAAAACTTGACTTTTATCCACTAAAATCTCTACTCTCAATTTATTGTCATAAGTACTACATATAATCACTGTTGTGATATTCATAGTCACATACTAGTACATCCACTTTGGCACGACTGTAAGTTCGAGAAAACACGACTTTACCGGAACCTGTCTGGAGCTGTTTACTTCAGCGTGACTTTCAGATAAGTAATTTATAGTATACCTTGGTTTTAAATTTTATATTTTACCTACTAGTATTAGCGTGAACACCTAATATACATTTATGACACCGTGTGAGATAACGCGGCTTCCATAGTCCCGTCGAACGCGTGACTTAACCTGCTTCTGACAGTGGAGTGAAGAAATCATAAGAAATAGATCATCCGTCTTGTAGATATCATGAACCAGTCGAGCAATTACGGTACCAATGAATCTTATGTATTAAACGGCGAATCATCTACGCGACTGGTAAGTGTTGTTGACTTGTATTTCACCACAATTGTGTGTGCAGTCGGTATCATCAGTAACTGTTTTATGTTAACATGCGTCGTGAAACACTGGAACCGCCACGTCACTAGTGAGTACTTCATTCTTCAACTCACGTCTGTCGATATGATCTCCTTAGTGTGGATTGGAGGAACCCGAATTGCGGATATCAGTCTCAACTACGCCTGGCCTCCCGTTATCGCATTCTGTCGTGTGCGGACTATAGTCGGTTTCGTACTTTACTTCATGCCCTTGGAAATTATGTACTTGATGAGTTATGAAAGATATCGTGCAGTTGTCAAACAAGTCCCGCTTTTTTTGTCGAAGATCAGGAAATATTCGTTGATACAGTGGATATTCAGCATCGTTATATCGAGCGGAATTATCCTCTTTATTCGTAGCTTCAACCCGAATCGGTGCTCGGTGTCTGACAATATTGACAGTCGCAGTGGTCTTTACGGACTTCTGGGTATGCCGATTGTGATTCCCGCACTTATAGTCGCCACATGTACTTTGAAAATAAACTTCTGCATCCTTAGAAACGTCAATAGAAAACGAAGACAGGTCGACGCGATTGCGCCAATGCGGGAATTTCCGATTGTATCAAGACACCTAAAAGAGAAACAGTTTCGAAACAAATCGTTGAGCAATATCAGAACATGTCGTGTTATCATGTTATTAAGCTCATTATTCATTCTGACTTGGTTTCTATATTATACTGTTACAATTTTGTTTATTAATGGAACAATTTCGAGAACATGGGAAGTTGTAACATTTCACGTCTTTTATATGAACACCTTGATAGACCCGCTAGTTTACGCTAGTATCAGCCCAAGTTTTCGGAAACGTTTGACAGATCTGTGTAGGCGTAAATCACGAGAAGTCTTTTATTTACACTCTGGCACTGCTGTTTCTACTATATAGGTAAATTAATCTGTAAACAGGTTAAAATGAATGAGCAAAAAAGATTATATTTATTTATTTATGGAGGGCCGTTAATCATGAATCATGGATATAACACAAAATATATTTTTACTATTATAAGAGAATTATGCCATCACACCTTTGTTGACCACATTTATTATTGAGTAAACAACAACGAATTGTTGGTTACAATATTAAGAATGTAATATTGAGTTTTTCGGTACAATATTTCGTCGTCTTGTACATTATGCGTTATTATTGTTTCACGTTTTCAGTGTTACAATAATCGTTGTTTTCAGACATAGGTTTAACTACACACATTTATTATTAAGATATTGGTGAATTCTGGACAAAATTAATATTCACATTTTATAATTTATGTACTCCATTCTCACATTATTAGGTCGTAATTAACAAAATTACAACAGCAACAAATAAATGTGATAATATTTGCCACTGATTCTGATATGCGTCACCACAGACAACATATGTGTCGTTATGTTTAATAGTTGTATGTACAAATTGTAATTGTAGAAAACTTTATACTTATAAATTATTTCTACGTGCAAGTAATCTATCACTGTCATGTATTGACTGTATATACAATATTTAGTTAATACAAATCTTCGCTGCGAAATTAATATTCCTCACTCTTGTTATTAAAATACTAACATTTGGATTAATTAGTTACATTTATATAAATGTATTTTACTAAGCATGAGAACATGGTTCGTTACTTGAGACTACTCGTGAGTTGAGACGACTTGCCCCATTTGTTGAACTGCATTATGGGTAAGCTTTATTCATCAGCAATCTCATTATATTAGTTGAATCCGCTTTATTGCTCTACTCAGCCGTCAAATAGTTTTGTACCAAAATGGACAATGTCAGTAACCACGGTTACGGTATTATCCGTGTTAAATTAGCCTGCGGCGGGGAATTGAAAATCCTAAATAAGGTAGAAAACCTAATCTTGCGAGTTGCTGTACTTATAAGTGTGGTGCGCTGGGTA